TTTTTTTTTTTTTTTTTTCTTTCTACAGAAAACATCAGGCACTGGATTATCGGTGAAATTCGTGATGTCGAGTTCGTTTTACGAGGTGGTTACGATCGCGGCATGGTAATTCGTTTCGGTTAATAATTCAATAGCAGGATGCGTTCGACAAAAGCAATTATGCATGGTAATAACGTAAACACGGTCGCACAATATCGTCATTAACGTAAAATTACAAGTTACTTGCTCCGCGAGATTTCATATTCTCGACGGGGCAGTGCGTTCGCGCGATGTCCTGCTTGTTATCGGCGCGTTACACTCGGTGTCAGTGTTACAATCGGTGATTTTATTGGTTTAGATCGGCGATGAAATAATCAACCCCCTCGTTTCAGATCAAATCCCTGAACGAAACGAATGTTAAAGTGTTAGAGTTGAAGCGAGATCGAGTTAAATCTCCATAATAATTCTCCATTTAAACTTCTTTGAATTATAAACTTTTTATAAAATTTACAAATCAAATGTACATCGTGCGATTTTACGTACATCTTCTATTCGTTAGAAATTTGTTATTTGGATATTTTATAAAAAAAATATAAACAATTAAATAACAGTTAGTTATTGGTGAATCATCGATTCATAATTTATTCAGAGTATATTAAAAACCGATGATTGATGTGATCCAGCAAAGAAAATTTTACGATTGTATCGTGAACGTTTATGCATTTATATAAAAATAAAGTACATATTGCGATATATAAAAGATAAAACAAATTCTTATTTCAATTATTTTTCTAGTTCGTTTATAATTTTTATAATTTTACTTACTACTTAAATTTTGATTATTTATTTGTGTTTTTTTTCTTTCACTTTTCTTTCCTACGATTATCGATCTTTCTCCAAGATTAATATTATTTCAATCGGCAAGAAAATTATCTTTTTAGAAAAACCGCAGTGGAAATCCCCGTCGGGGAAAAGGTTGAGAAAGTCGGGCATTTGGCAGTGAAGTTGAAAACTAAAAGACGACAAAGTTACGCCGCTAAGTTCAACTTGGAAACTGATATAAATGGCCGTTCGGTCACTTTGGCTAAGCGGTTTGCAATTTACTCTCGCGAAAGTTCTTCTCGTTTGCGGTAATAAACCGGATCGATTAGACCTTCGCGCGGGATGCAATATCGTAGAACGAATTCTACAGGGACGAGGAGGGGGTGTCTCTTCTCTCGCCCGAATTTCCATTTCACAGAAGCTTATTCTGTCCATCTAGAGGGAAGTTTAGAATTTCATTTAAAAAATTTTTATGAAAAAACAATCTCTCCTCCCCCTCGATACGATAATCCTCGTGATGCAAGAAAAATGATGAATTAAAATACGAAGTATCGGCATCGAACTCGTGACAACGATACTCGTCGATCATAGTTCATCAATAATTTTTCCATTATCCGACTTAATATTTAATCGAACTTCATATACGAAATTATTAATATTGTACGACACATTTTTCGCATAGAAAGGACTCGACTCGGGAAATTTCGAATTTCAACGGCTATTAAACTTTTTAATAGATAACAATGAAAACAATTTGACAAATAAAAATAAAATTTTCATCGTACATGCCCGGATAAATTTTCACGTCGAACATATCCACGTAAGCTTTTTAATTACACGTTATCGCTACGAAGAGTGTTTCTCTGAAAGCTATTTACTGTTCGGTGGAATTAAAAAAAGAAAAAAAAAAAAATAGTGGATCGTTTACACCCAGCCATGTTACAAAGCAAATACGTAGTCCAACAGTGTTTCGACGTGCACTGTTTGTCGACAAAATTTTAATCGAACTATACATTTCCGGGGGGTAATTTCAAATAAAATTTAAACACGCTCGAACGCGTA